CGGGTGGGTGGCGCGCTGCGCTGCGCTCCGCCCGGGCTTGCTGGTGGCTTTCGCGCCTGGCTTAACCCTAAGCTGGCGCTAGTTAGAAAGTGTATTTGTGTGCTTCTTTCTTCGAAGGGTCGCCTGGGTTCCCCCACCCCCTAAGCTGGGGGTTAGAAAATGGGCAGAATACGGGCAGAAGGGAGCCACGTTATTGGATACGTCTATAACTGCTGTGAAGATTGGAAGTGGCTGCCTTCACTGTCTGTTTTCTGTTTCTTTTCCCCCCGCCCCTTATTGCTTTAACCCTTTTTTCCTTTTTCTCTTTCTTTATATTGTTTTGTGTTCATCTTTTTGACTTTGTAAACAAATTCTTCAATAAAAAATATAAAAAGAAATGAAAAGGTGTTTATTCATTTGATTGGTACAACTGCCGATCTCCCTTAGGGGACTCCTTAGGAGGCTCCCAACAACCCAGCGCGATGCAAGGCAACGGACTTACAACCTTATTAAATGTACAACGAAAATGCAATTGCTGTTTGCAGAACTTGTGGAGTCCCAATAGAGAAGCCCTCTGAAGGCTTCAGGGGATATCTTGGTTCCTCCCATGCCTGGGTCCCCCAAGGCCCTGAACCCAACCTAAGTGGCCAGTTTTTGTGCAGTTTATTTATTTGTCAAATTTATATAGCTGCCCATCTCACAAACAGGTGACTCTGGGCACCGTACAACAAGGCTAAAAACCATGAGTTAATAAATACCAAATAATAATTATTAACAGTATTAAAAAAAACATTTAAAAAGTGTAACAAACAAGCTAAAAGAGAAGAAATAGCAGACAAACAGATGTTAATAATAGTGTAGCCACCTCAATAATTTATCGATCCCCTGGGGTCCCCAGGCCTGATGGCAGAACCAGGTTTTGAGGGACCTTCAGAAAGTCAGAAGTGATGAAGCCAGCCTCACTTTGGAGGGAAAGATATTCCATAGAGTGGGTGCCACAGCAGAAAAGGCCCACCTCCTAGGACCTGCCAAATGTAACTCCTGAGCTGATGGGACCCACAGCATGCCCTCTCCGCTGGATTTGGTGGCACAGGCAGATGTAATCGGGGAGAAATCAAATCATCATAAAAAAATTTAGTGTTTAATGAGGGCGCAGGATTGTGGGAATCCTGCCTAGAGTGGTTTACAAACCATGGTTAATCATGTAGTGGAGTCTGCGATCTCTGCCAGTTGGATTAGCCTAACACACCAATCTACAAACCAGCCCATATGGTTAGTTTAAATGTCTCTTTCCTAAGGTGTACACCATGGATAAACATGTCACTGGATAAAAAGTTTCAAATGGTGTGTATTTACAGATTGGTTGTGTTTGCACACACAATCACTTAAGAACCTAGCAGCCAGTATTGGCCTAAGCATGCTTTATTTGAACCTTAGCTTTGGGATGGCTTAACATTGTATAATCTAGCCTAGTGGTTAGTTTATGATTCAGCCTCTTGTGTTAACCCAGGAAATAGTTGGGGTCGGTTCAGTTCACCTATTGTGCAAACACAACCACTAACTAGGTTTGCATAATAAATATCCAGGTCCAGATTATTTGAAGGATGCTAAAATGAGCCTGTCTCCATCTTCAGTGGACCTTCTGAATCCCAGACTGTTAGCAATGGAGGGTGAGGCAGGGCCTTCTTAGTGGTGGCCTCCTCTCTTCCACACACACTCCTAGCTACCTCCAACTGCGGTTGCTTTTCACAGTGCTTTTAAAACATATTGTCTAAAACCCTGTTTTATTTGAACTGAAATTGCTCAAATTCATGATGATTTTTGAATGTAGTTTGGCATGTCCTTTTTCTTTTTAATGGTAAAGACAGTCCTGAAAGGTGGAGGATAAACACCTTTTCATTCATTCCACTACAGTGTTCAGTGGGGTTTATTTCCTCCTCCTCCAGGAGGCCCTGGGAGATTGCACGCAACATGTTCGCTCTCAGGTTCGCCCAACCTGCAAAAAATTAATTGAATAAATTAGTCGGATGGGTTCCCCCAACACACAAACACACAGTCTCTACAAGTCAGCTTTACCCGGAGACCAACTTTAGTTGCTTCATGGACATTTCCATGAATTACTATTATGAAATATTATTGTTGCTGTTATTAATTAAATGGGTAATGTCCACCCATTCCAGTAAACTCTGAATGGCTTTTTCTTGGCAAAAGTGCTTTAGTGGTTCCCCATTGTCTTCTTTGGGGATTCTTTTTGGACTTCCCAGTCTAAGCCACCCTCCTAGGGTTTCCTGGTGGTCTCCCATTCAAGGACTAATCAAGACCAAATTGTTTCCACCTGATGGGTATTAAAACAAAGGTTTCCATTTGTGGCCTGGTGATGTTTGTATGGACACATCCATGTTTTCCTGACCACATTACACACTGGCTTTGTTGTTGTTTTTTACTCTTGTACAGGCTGTAATCTCCTGGTGGTCTTCTGACCAGTTATCACCAGTCCCCCGTCCCCCGGTTAGATTTTTCATGGCCAGCGAACGTTAAAAAGCTGTAGGGCCTCTTGTCTCCATGGCAACGAAGCCTGGCTAGTCGTGATTTAGGGAGGTGTCCCATAGCAGCCACCCATATTTCATTCCCCCCACCATGTGGTGGGAAGGAAAACGGAGAGAGGAGGAAAACAACGAGAAAAAGCAAGTATTTCCCACGTAGGCAACTCTCATGTTTATTTCATATTATTTGTGCACTGTATTCTCCTCACGATCCCGCCCTCCCAAACTCCGTAAGGGTGGGGGGCAGGGCCAGCTTTGCGCGCCGTCGCAAGGGCTGCTGGGAGAAGCCGGACTCTCCACCAATCGATGCGCACGGCACGCGTCGATGTGAGAGCGCCGCCGGCGGAAGGAGAGAGACGGTAAGTGTGGCCGCGCTGAGGTAGAACTTGCGCCTTCTTTCGCGAGCCTATTTGATAATCTCCCTCGTGCTTTCCGGAATGCGGGGCCGTAGCTCGAAGTGCCCCCATGGGTCCATTTTCCTTCAAGCTTTCCGCAAACAGGGGCTGTCTTTAAACCTTTTGGACTTCAACTCCCAGAATTCCTTGAGTGGTAAGGCCAATGGTTGAGTGGTTTAGGGAATTCTGGGGGTTGAAGTCTCAATGCATGTGGAGGTTGAAGAGGGCATGGGTTAGATTTTGCGTGCCCCGTGAAGATACGAGCCCCGCTTTTTAACTTTGGTGGGTCACGACCAACAAGTACCTGGTCCTCCAGAGGCTTTTTCCGTTAGGAGTCTCAGGGGCAGGAAGGTAACAGCCCTTTCTCCTCGCTGCATCTGGTAGAGCGTCTCCGGAAACGGAGGTTTTATTCGGGCTAATAATTCTGACTTTTCTGTCACGTGGCTAACTAGCATTTAGAACAATGTTTTTCAAACTTGGCAACTTTAAGACATGTGAACTTGAACTCCTAAAATTCCCCAGCCGGTATAGTTGGGGAATTCTGGGAGTTGAAGCCCACATGTCTTAAAGTTGCCAAGTTTGAGAAACACTGATTTAGAAGAAGAGCACTCTGACCTGGAAGGGCCATTCAGCTATTATTATTACAATATGACATGGGATTTCAACAAATTCTTATTCAAGCTGCTAGCTCTGTTTATTCATATCTCACCTTGATTTGTACAAAAAATCAGGGCACTATATATAATGCTCCCGCCTCCTATTTTCCCCACAACAACCACCCTTTGAGGAGGGTTTGGCTGAAGAGAAGGATTGGCCCAAAGTCACCCAGTCAGTTTCTGTACCTAAAGGAGGACTAGAAATCACAGTTTCCTGGATTCTAGACCAGCGTCTTACTGCACCATAATGGCTCTCAGCTATATATACAGAAGGTGCCAAATTTAATATCTGGCTTTTCCATCCTAAAAAGATCAGATAACTGGTGGTGAATAAACCTTTGCTTGAGATTCTGAAGAGCATGACTCACTCAGGACAAGTAAGAATTAGATGGGAGGGCAGAAGAATTACAAGTTCTTTGAATGTATAACTTTTCTAGTTAGACTCCATCAGCTTCTTCTGGCTAAATGTACGTATGATTTCATTGCTAAATTTCAGTCCTAAACATCTGCATAATGAGTAAGGCTACACTGCAAATCTACAGTCCTCTGTATACTTACTGTTCACCTTTAAACACTTATTTGCTTCTAAGAACATAAGAAAGGCTGGATCAGGGCTAAGCCTCTCTGGTTCAGCATTCTTTTCCCAAAATGGTGAAGCAGAGCCTTGAGAGCCAGGATTTGTGTTTACAAAACAAATGTAGTCATAGTTGATGGAATTACTCCAGTTTTCTGGGTTAACACAATAAAGCAATCCATAAATGAACTATGCATATTGGGTTTGCATAATGGTTAGCCTTAAATCACTAGGAAGAGTCGCTTCCTAGTGAGATGGGTGATTACCAAATTTGAAATATAAATAAAGAAAATAAAGAAATACATGTGCTTGGCTAGTTTCTGGTTCCGTATGTTGTGGGAATACAGTATACTGAATGTGCTAAAGTGATTCAGGTTTTGAAGTAGGCCTGGGGAGATAGGTAAAGTCCATCCTTACAATTTGAAGTTTTCCAGTGTGATTTTCAGATAGTCATCATTCACTCTAACCAACTTCAGGATATGGGGGATTTTTTTGGGTGCAGGGGAAATCAAGAAAGTCATACACTGTACAGTGTCATATTGTACTCCTCGAAATATGTGATTTTGCACTAATAATGATGGTCTATATTTTGTTCTCCCTTCCATATATGTTTTAGTATTTTTGGTTGTGCTTCTGCTTCTTTGGAGTTCTTTAGTTTTTTAGAATAGTTTTTTAAAGAATTTTCCATTTTTTAGAATAGCCCATTGCTTTAAATTTATTAACAATTTTGGTTTTCCTTTAAGATATCATGTAAATCTTTAATAAACCACTGCATGTAGCAAAGTTTAAGTTTTAGAAATATAAGTTAGTAAATCCTATTATGGTGGCATTTTTGCTCTTATTTTCCTGATCCCTCCAATCATATTGTGCTTTTTAACATGTATTTGTATTAAGAAATCTTACCTTTCCAGTGTAAGGGTAGAGGTAGTAAACAATATCCAAAAATGCAAAATTAAAATAATTAAATCTGAAGGTAATATATCAGAAAGATAAACCTGAAGGCAGCATAAAAATGGCTCATAAAACAAGATTGTCTTCCCAACATGGTGGAACTTCAAGCATAAATGGATTAATCGGTGACTACTTTATCTTGTCCAGAACCGGTTCAATGTGGCATATTCCTCTTCTTTGGTGGGAGTATCTCAAATTGTGTTAAGCCACTAATTCAATTCTATTCTGTTTGCATGTTACACTACATTACCAAGATGACAGTCCTTTCCCCCATCCCTCTTGCTTTCTACTACTGAACTTCATAAGTAATTTTTGCACAAAGAGGTTTTGTACACAGTGATGAATTTCAGATAGCTGGAGTAAACAATTCTTTTTCCAGTATTTTGATGCCAGTCCTGTCTGTGAGAGCTTGCTTGTTTCTGCTCAGATGCCATTGGTGTCTAATAATGAATCCCACACTTTTAATTGGGAAGCTGTTAACATTTTTTTTAGAGCACACTGTTTGAATTTTCTTGGATTATCAGGACTATAGGTTTGCAGATGCAGCTCTTGTAAGCCATGAAGATCTCTGTAATTAGGAGATGTGTAGCTTCAGAAAATATTACATAGGACCAATGGACTATTTTTCTTCTTCTGTGCACAGGGCTATGCATTCAAGCCACACAGGGTCTTTTTTTCTTTTTTTTTACTACTTGGGCTTGTTTGAATTGCAAATATGCATTGACCACTGGCAATTATATGTATTTACCAGGTAGACCTGCATTGCAGAGCTGAATTCTGATGAATCCTAAATTGTGTGGGCAGCGCACAGTGCTTATTAGAATGTATACATTCCTTTTTCATCACAGCAAACTGGTTGGCTGGTGTGCATCTTCTCTATTTTTCTGTGGCAGTTCTTTAAGTTGGGAAATTTGGTATTTCATGTGCAACCCACTTCCCAAATATGGATTTCTAAGACATGCAGCACTGTAACTAACATAAACCTTTTTTGAATGATGGGCACAATTCATTTGTTTGTTGGGTTTCATTCAAGAACTCAAGGCAGTGAACATCACACTCCCTCCTCCCATTTTCCCCTACAACAACCCTCTGAGTTGGATTGGGCTGAAAGAGGGTGACCTATCCAAAGTCACCCAGTGAGCTTCCATGGTTGAGTCTATGGTTGAGTCTTCCATGGGTGAGCTTCCATGGTTATGTCTCCTGAATGCTACTCCTACACCTTAACTGCTACAGCATGCCATCTTTCACCCATCTTAACTACAATTTAACCTGCAGTCGGTATAAGCATGCCATGGCTTTATATTGTCTAATTAGTTTTTCCTGTTTCATTGGGTTTGAGCAGGAGGCATTCTTGCAGAGCTGGACCCTCATGCTTTCCTCATACTCAACTTATTCATGTGTCTCTTTTCTATCTGTCTTTGATGTTCTTTCCCCCCAGCAATAATAGAGGACTATTGAACTCACACCTGTGTGCCTTTTTCTTTTCTCTCTCTGTCCTTTTCAGGGCCCAGAACTTTACCAGAGTTGAAAGTACAATGGATTGTGTTGTCTCTCCACATTTGATTTTACACATTCTTCACTGGCCCAGTAAGAAATAATTTTACCTGACCCATCGTTGCTTTCCATCTCCTTTCTTTTTGGCTTAAATTCCAGAAGTGAGTGTGCTAATTAGTAAATAGAAGCCAGTTATTTTTTAGTTTTCGTTTTCAAGAGAGCTGCAATGGATAATTTTGTTCTAGAGTATAATTTGTGGCTTAAAGCAGCAACAATTAACTGACAGATCATCAGTTTTTTTTTTTTTTTTTTAACAGTCTTGCCTTACCTGGATTTTGGATCACTATTTGGAATTCAAATTCCTTCTCTCTTTGTGATCTGCACTGCTGCTCTTTCCACAAATATCCTGGCCTCATGACTCTGCTAATCTTTCCTATGCTGAGCAGCCCCATTAAGAGTCTGTCTGCATTCTCTTGAATGCAGTAAACTTTCCCCATGTAAAGATTCCACCTGTACACTGATGGTCTGGAAGATATTTGAAAGCTGTCATTTTCAAAGAAAGGCTGTAATTCTTGATCAGTTGGGGGATAAATAACCAATAGACAACAGAAGCGTGCTCACGGGAAACAATGGCAATTGTGCTCCACTACATTTGCTACTCTTTTTGAATGTTTGATCATTGAATCTGACCCTTCTTCACCAGATCCTCCTTCCCCAGTTTGCTTCTGTCCATTCAAGTCAGCATTAAATCCAAAATGCTATATAGTTTGATACTATGGTGAAGGAGGTTATAATACTCCTGCTTTTATTTTTATTTTAGTCTTATGTGGATCTCATACTGGTGCATATCAATATTTTTAAGCCCTCCATAAAATGTATTTTAATATTTCCGCCTAAAGAAACCCAGCTCTTTGGACCTTTCCTAACAAATGGATTCTGCTCTTTGATGGGGAACTGAGGCACTTTCAGATTGTTAATAATATTTGTAGTACAGTCATGCAGGCTTGGGCAGTGATTGTTACCCTTACCTAAAGAGTAATATCATTCCTATTTTTACAGGACAGAAACTAAGACTAATAATGATACATGCTACATATGCCCAGGTGGCTGATATCCAAATAAAGATTTGCACCTTATCTTGTGTTCCAGTGTTTTGTTTCTTCCACTGACTTTGCTAGATCTGATGCCTTGAATGAAAACATCCCCAGCCCTAATCTGCTGCATTGATTTGGGTAGCTCCTGTTAAACTTGACTTCTTATTCACATCTAACATCTTAGCTAGTTGTAATTGGATACAGTCCTGGGAATATGTTCACGAAATCCATGCATAGGTTTATAGTTTAGCTTCTTGGAAGATAGTACCTTAACATCAAAGAGCCAGTTCAGAAGACATGGTGGTACAGCCCCCCCCCCCACAATAACAGTCCTGCTGGATCAGATCAAGACCCATCTTAGATCAGCATTTTATTTCTCACAGTCGCCAACTGGTGCTCACAAGCAGCAAATTGAGAAACACCCTTCTTCCACCATTGCTCCCCTGTAATTTATATCTGGAGGGAAGTTGCTGCAAACCTGGACATTTACATTGGGTCCCAAGATTCTGACTTCAGAATTTATGAGAGATACCTTGTGTGAAATGTATCTCTCCTAAATTGATCCTTTATGAAGAAGTTTAAATATATTTATTGTATCTATCTTTCTAGCAAATTTTTACTTTGAGATTACCGGACATACAATACTGAACTCATAAAGAGTTACTTTAAAATATGAGATCAATCCAGTTTGGAAGCAGGCAATCTTCAAAACAAAATAAATCTGTTATATTAATTTATACTAACTTAATCACTTTTCTCTTTTGTCTCATATGTATAACCTGAGCAGACATCGTAGCATTCTTTGTTTTTAATATTGTTTTTAGCCAAAATTCTTTGAATGTATTTCTCCTAACTACCCTGATATTGTCAATTTAGTTTTGAATATCTGCACACCGATTTCCTTGTGCTGGTTAATGACTGCAATAAAGTTTTGCATTTCATTTCATTTCATTTCTACTAACAAATTAATTTTACTATTTTTTCTCACTGAATCATGTTTACATTCTCAAGTAAAGCAGAAGGTGGAATAATTGTAGGATGTGCATATCATTCTGAGGATGTTGATTGTATTGCTGTATCCCATTTTAATTTTGTTTTCAAATATAGGTGGGGGTGGAGGGGCATTCTAACATACTCATTTATATCAAAAATAGGCAATTCAGACTCTGCAAGAGTTGCTCAAGATTATTCTGCTGAAATTTGGTTACAAAGTGCTAAATAGTGACAACATAATTTTCTGCTAGTTTTCATCAGGCAACAAAATAAAAAGTTATACTGATGCAAAGGTTTTAGATAGGTTCATCACTCCTAGAAGAGTTGAAGAATAGCCAGTTAAACAGACAGACAGACAGAGGAAGACAACACTGATCCACTCCTTAAATCCTTCTCTGCTAGAAACATTTTTTAAAAATCCTGACTCCAGCCCTGAACATGCTGTGCCATTGAGTTATTTTATATTTGTATATTTATGGTACTGACCTTGCTTGCTAGGAGTACAATGCATTTTCTAAAAAAATATTAGTTTAATGCATCCTGTCCCAACTTGGTGTTTTTCATATGTGCTTGGATTAAAGCTCCTGCAATTTGCTTGTTTATTCCACTTATATGCCAAGTAATATACTATTGACTCAAGGTGGTATATAATGATATATGGTAGTCCTTTGGGTTCGAAGAAGACACGCTGTTGTGC